CMAMMWTTTTTTGTCCAAATTATYAAGGATTTGTATCAATATCTTCATGAAATCTGTTGCTTCATGATTATTAGACCCATTTGGATAGGTCTATTTGATTTCCAAGTCTTTTCTAATGATTCAAATTTTTCGTCCAAGTAGCCCTTTAARATAAAACTATTGCCAAATCTGCTTGTTTTAAATTTCGGTACCCTGAAAAGGCGTTTGCGTCTTAGAGAAATATTATAATCGTTTACAGCAGGCAGAAGAGTTTTACGTTTACAGATCTTATCGCTTACAATCTTATCGAATAGTTTGTTAGTTACCAGTTGGCGACAGTCAAATAACTTACAAGACCTGACTTCCTTAGGGCCTCAGTAGTCGGACTCGATAGTATCTTATGTCGATATATGCATTCAAATGGTGCTATTTTCTTAAAAAAAAACAATTCTATGTACTTATTGACTGAGTGGGAGGGCCGTACTGGAAAACATTTGGCTCGAGGTTATACCGTACGGAACGAGCGCAGCGAGGTCCATACAAATGACCGAGAGCCAAATATTTTCCCGTACGGCCCGACCTAACTCAGTCAATAAGCATTTTATCATATGACAGCGTTTTTTAATGTAAAAAAATAAATAAAAGCACGCGGAACTTCATGCCGGGAAGATGCGGGTTTGTATTTGTATGGCCCTTTCGCGAAAAGGCGTACKGCCCCCATCACGTGACCATGCATTTCCCGAAGGTTTTTTAAGAGCGCGCGTCGGGACGAAATACAGGTCATATGATAATAATTCTTATTTCCTTTCTTTAATCCAGCTGCRACGTGTGAATTCATTACAATTGTTAAACAGCTTCTTGATGCCAAAGCAGACAGCTCCATAGCAGACCAAGATGGCTACCTTCCACCTGATGCGACAGATAACAAAGATATCAAAAATCTYTTCCCGAGTTGRCTACAGTGTTTAAACGTATGATGTRCTTTTTATAAAGTCATAAAGGATTTATTTTAACTAATAATGGATTTATTTTACCTCGAACGAACAAAATTTGTATTTGACAAAGATTGTATGAGTAGATTTGTATATTATTTCGTTGCATTTAATCATTTGGCCTGCTTTATATTTGGAAATTTTGTATTATTTAAGAATATAAAATAAACAACATTACTCGCTTTCAGCTTCTGATTCAAGAAACCTTTCATTGACTCGAATGTTTGAAATTTATCGCCTAAATTTTCAGGCCTTACTGTATACAGCAAAAAAATCTCTACATCCATGAAAATGATTTTGAAAAGAAGACGATGCTTGTTCTCCTAAAAATGCGATTCAAATGATACCCCATAGAAACATTAACAGCAAGAAATGACAAATGTTTATAGTATTCACAATTCGTGTGAATGTGTACATATAAAATCTCCTTGCTTTTTGCGCAATCTTTTCGGTTTCTCCCCCATGTCTTTCCATTTTACCTGACCACTTTCATAAGTGCCTACCATCGATTTTATACTACTGACAAATAATATATATTGTATACTAGAGTACAAACACTAAAACTGTGCAACATAAATACCACTAAATACTGCTAAATTATGTTATTGTTTAACTAACACTATTTTGTAGTAAATAGTGGAAAGTGTTGCACACATTTAATGTTTGTACTCTATAGAACCGTCATATGGAAGAACTATCTGAAATAGGTGGTTATATAAAGTTTTGAAGCCGTGGACCAAATACTAATGAAGTTATGGAGGAATTCAAATACAATCATTTGTATGGAATTCATGGCTGAGAGACCTTGGTGGCCTCGTTTTGGTTTTTCTGTTCCTCTTCCAACCCTTATAACTTCAAGAGGATTTAATATCTGTGAAACTTTTAGAACATATCTTTAGCTTTGATATTTATCATCTGAGGGCGTTCTTTGAGTAACATTATGAATTTAACAATAATATGCTAATTTAGTGTCAGCCATTATGAAAATCTCTTCATTTCCTTTTCTATGTCGTTCACTTCCACGTTTCTTTTGTACGACCTCTTTTCCTTTCCCCGTCGTCCGTTGTCAGGATATACTCGCTCCATTAAAAATAATAACATCGATAAGAGACAGCGCTCTCGTACGCACGAATTTCTTAATAATTCCTAGGGACGATAAAAAAAGTGAGGGAGGGAAAACTTTCGTAGTTAGTGCCATAGACTTAATATTGTAGATTGAACAAATTATACTGTTGATTTTTTTTTAAATTAAAGTAATATCTAAATTGTATATAGCTATTTGGTAATGTTCTAGAGTAATTAACACTATTTTGCAGTAAATAGTGGAAAGTATTGCACACATTTAATGTTTGTACTCTACCATTGTTCCTATTCGATAATGGTACAGCTGTTTGCAATAATTCTGACCCCCTCTGCCATATTTCATATATATCAAACTGACCTTTAATATTATGGGATATCATGACTGATATATTTTTTGAGTTGTCAAGAATGAGTACTTTCTAAAAAAAATATCAGCAATGGTATCCCATAATTTCTAAGGCTATTTTGATATATATGAATATTAGTGTAGGGGGGTCAGAATTATTGCAAACAGCTGTATATAATATATGATATATATATAGCTATATACCATTACTTAAATCGATTTAGATAATTACACTTTATTCTTTTTTTTAGAAAAAAGATCTTTTGTAAATGTAGTTTTTCACTCCTTGTCATTGTAATTAGTGCCSGCGCTTTTTTATGTCTTTGCTGGTTTTCTCTCGAGCACTTTACCATTAGCCATGTGTATCATACATGTACTAAAAATACGAGGAGCCAACGGTTTCCTGGAAGAAATTTATATGTGTATGTATGTATTTATCTGCTTATGTAGCCAGTTGTAAGTCACAACTGGTTGCCAGCGAGAAATCAGGAAAAAAGAACTCTCCAGGCAAGGAATACTTTCTAAGAATTTTTGCCAGTAAAATAACAGGGTGTGGAGCGGATATTTTGTGGAACGGATTCGATGCGAACTTCTGAATAAAAATATAAACTAACTAAAAAAATATAAGCCATTTTTTTACCTTAAAAACGTTTGCCAGGAACAAAATTATTCTAAAGAAGGAAGGACGCCACATTTGCTTGTGAAATTGTCAACAATGTAGCTCAAAATCCCTTTCCCAGGAAAGACTTTTCTACAAGAACAGTTATTTCGAAGAACAGATCCCGTCGCGGGCTCCTCCGATCCTGCTAATAACAACCTTGAAAATGGCCGCGTAGGCCGAAAGTTTTGTTTAAAGATTATAAAACCTTAAATACGCAGAAGAAGCAGTCTTTACTTATAAATCCTATATGTTCTCTTTTATTGACCTTTTTCTTTGTGCGAAGTTTCAGGTCATTTGGACGACTATTTAGCGAGGTTTTTTTTGTTTTTTTGTATTTTTTTGTAACGTACCTCCGTATGTTACTTAAATTTAAGTTAAATTTGAAATGACTTCCATCAAATTTCAGCTAAAAGCGTATTATTGTAGAGCTTGGGCTACCTGTGATCGATCTGATCCATAATTTATACTAAACAAAAGTGTTTGTACAACGGGTATTGCGCGAGTAAACTACATCAACTGTCAGTTGAAATTGAAAAGGGCATTAAAGACGAAACATGTTTTTCAACTCTGTTGTTTTGTTTGGCACGTAAACAGATAAGCAGTGAATGAAAATTTCCAATACCAAAAATGAAGTCTTTTTTAACAATGTTTACGTGATTAACGTGATCATGTGCCCCATCAACTTCCAGAGTTTCTCTCTGGATTTGCGTCATGATGCCCAATTTAACTTGTTCGATTATAGAATTCAAGGGGGCATATCTTAGCTTTACAAAACTTTAAAACAATTCGCTTTGCTGTAAAAATGCTTCATAAATAATTAAGATGTGGAAGGAAAAGGGCTATGTTACTTCCGTCGAAGGTGCCCCCGTTTTCGTTCTCAGTAATGAAGAATAACAGAACAATCTAAGACTAGACAAAGAAATTAAAATTCCCATTTTTCTTGCAATCTCCCTCATTAAAACAAAAGACTTTTGCTTAAATACTAGGATAAATAAGCTTGTGACATTTAGTCCTGTGCTACCTCTGCGAACAGATCAGTCCTGTGCAGGATCTCTGCGAATACAACTACTCGATCGAGTTTGCATAAGGCTACGTCAGTTAGAGGTACGTTAAAAAGAAAGATTAGATCGCGTCCAATTGCTAAAAAAATTATCTGTTAACCGCGTTAAATCCTTATCCAACGGATAAAATCCCATAGGCAAGATCTTATAGGAGTAGATATAACTTTAACCGATGAATAACTTTATCCCCATTCGCACAACTGGCCCGACAACTTTAGATACAAAAACTCAACAGTGATCCAGCGGTGGTTAGGATTTTTGTACTGGGGTGATGTCAAATTTGATATTTTGTCTGTAATGGTTTTCGTCTGATGTTATAAGCGACAAAGTCGGCTTTTCTGCTAGCAAAAAAATAAATTTAAATATTAAAAATAATATTGAACGAAAAGTCTTGGATAGAATGTACAATTCTTAGATTTATTCTGSCTGGCTTAGGTTGTGTAATATATCAAATTGATTTTGGTCTGATAATGTAATACTTAGAAAATACTTACTTAATACTTACAAAAAAATATCACGGGAACTGATAGACTTAAAAATTTTGTGTCTGTTAAGTATCTGGAATGTAGTTGTTAAATGTTGTTAAATGTTAGTTGTTAAATGTTGTTATATCAGTGTTGAGCACATCCTGTGAATTCACACATTTTCTCTAGTATTGCACTGCGATAGGATTGTAATTAAACATACAACAATAAAATAAAGCGCACAGAAATATATATAGAGGATAGTACATGGGTGCGAGCAGAAACCGCGGACAACATCTTCAAGTGTTCCATAGATATCTCACAAGTTAGAAAAGCGTGGTCAAATTTAAATCTATGAGGCAAGACATACGACAATTTTGTACGGAGTATCCATAGTAACGTATTATGCTCAGGTGTGGAAGATATCACTTTTTCGCGGTAGAGAGTTCCTGGTATTTTTTCATGGAAGTATACCATGATAAAAACTAGTATGTGGCTTTCCGATCGAATTTGTCGTTCATTTATAATTATGTTCTTAACATTTGTGTTGACAATATTTCATTGTATTTACTTACAGATGTGCAATTCTGTTTAATGAACATGATGAACATTACCAACTTGACGAGCTTCACTTTGAATGCTGCCTCTGCGATATATGTCTTCGCCCCTGTGAACTACAACATCAAAGTCATTAYTGCATGTGCTTATGCAATTGTAGCAGCCTATGCACTCGTCGCAAACTCGCTGATCTTTTATTTTACACAAAAAAATCCATCCAAGAAAAATGCATTAAGCCGGAGTTTCTTGGTCAACCATTTCATCCAAAGTCTTGCTCTATCAGATATCTTAGCTTCACTCAGTACTGTTCCTATTTTAACATCAGAAATGTTTGTTGACTTTATTAAGACTGATTTCGCTTGTAAAGTTGATCGGTTCATATGCATGTATTTTCACATTGTAACAATTATGAATTACCTAGTTATCGGTATAGAAAGATATATAGGAATATTCCATCCGTTTTGCGCTCCAAGCGTCAGAGCAGGAAAAAGGCTAGTAGCAGCTGCGTGGGTTTTGGCTGCGGTTCTTGTTATGGTTCTACAAATCTCGTATAACCTCGTGCAGTATGAATTAGATAATAACATGTACACGCTCAAGTGCAACGTTGATCATTCCAACAAACTTTCAAGTTCAATTTATATAAGCTTTGCTGTAATATGTTGGCTTGTTCCTTGTATAATTCTTGTATTTGCCAAYACTCGGATTGCGATGTTCTATCGCCGAGCAAAACGCGATTCAAAAGGCAATAAATCACGAGCAACTGTTAACAGAGCAAACAGTCGTAATCGTAAAACCACAAAAATGTTTGTAACGCTCATATTTGCATTTATTCTACCTTACATGGTGCATGTTTTGTACAGCATTGTAACTATGGTGTTAAAGCTCGATATCTCTTTTACACAGGATTATATAACTCGCTATGTAACTTCGTTTTTAGGATGTGCCAACGGCGCTGTCGGTGCAACTGTTTTATTCTATATGTCGAAATACCACCGAAGAAAGTTATGTATGTTGTATTACAGGGTAGTTTCTTAGTGATTAAAGAAAAACGTATACAGCTATTTTAAAAAAAACGTTGTCGGGGAGCTAACTAGGAGAACGGCGAACGGCGATTGTCGAAGGGAGATTGAATGATCGAAAGGGACTATAGTTACACTGCTTTGATAAACAAAATCTCACTTATTTGATTCACCTTACATAGAAATGGAGACTAAATGGAGMCAATGTTTACCACAGACCATCTTACAGTACAAATCAGTTGTTATTGCCTTTCGGTCGTGCAATCAATGATGATCTCTGCTCGACCATTGCAGCCATTGACATATTCGCCATTTTATCCGACAACCTTTTTGGAAATAGCTATATATCGCCTTTGTATGTCATTTAAAAGGGACATTGTCCACCAGCTTCCCTTTCGAACTTTTTCTCATGTTTGAAAATAAAAATATAAGCAAAAACTTACTCTTTATTATCCCTTTATCCTATATAAATGGAGATATTGTAAGATTCGGCCTTTAAACCGATGGAAGGAAACGGATTGCGAACGCAAATTCGCAATGCTGGTGGATTAATGTGACCCACTGAACTGTTGTACACAAATATTTGAAATAAATGCTGAAAGAAAGAGTGTTATTTTGACTTTTAATTAAGCAGATATGTTGCGCCTTTATAGAGGAAACTAGAGGAATGTGCAAAGGTTTTCGATGGTGATGTGCAAATCAGGCCTTAAATTTAACCGTCGCCATCGTAACACTGATCAAGCCCAAATTGTCATCATTTCAAACTTTGATCATGTTAAGGATAAGAATAAAGAACRACAGGCTTGGGTAAAAAGGCAACCGTAGGGCTCCAGTTTAAAATAGACTAGCAGTTCAACAGCTCCAACAATGGTGTTCATAGGACGCTGTGGTTACAGCGTCACGTTCGAATAAAACAAATCTGTGTGACCCGACTAAACGCYCTCAGAGCGTTTGTCTAATTTGAATGGGTTCCCTGTGTCTTTATGTCCAACAAAATGGCGGCCATCAAAGAGGCATTTGAATGCGATCCCGATTTCTGCCCAATTTGCGGTTCAATATTACCTCTTCCTGGATTAGAAGACGTGGTTTCTTGTAAAATATGTGATTTCCAGAAAGATACATCAGGTATGTTTAAAAATATGTAATGTTCAGAGTTTTAAAAACGGTAAAAACTGGACGGAATTTCAGCGTGTCTATAACTTATTTATATTGACGTTTATAGTACAGAATTTCTTGGTCTCACTGCTACAAGACAAATATTTACCGTATCTCATGAAAATAAGTTTGCTAGGCTTATTTAAAAGTTCTATATCTTAATAGTTCTATATCTTAATAAATAAAGATATAGAACTTTTAAATAAGCCTAGCAAACTTATTTTCATGAGATACGATAAATATTTTTCTTGTAGCAGTGAGACCAAGAAATTCTGTACTATAAACGTCAATATAAATAGACACGTTG